TTTACTAGGTACATATATTCCCTTTTTTTTTATTAAATGTTTTTATTTTGGATTGAGTGAAAGTTTACAGGGCACATCATCAGCTTCACATTCAACCATTCATATAGCTTGTTTCATTACATTGATTATTATCCCCTCCATATATCATCAGTTAACAGTGTTTCTCTCTATCCTCTTTAGCTTTTTTTTTTGGGTGGGGGGGGAACTTGCCTTTTTGGAATTTGCAGTCTCAGCTTTTAGGGAAGGTTTTTACATTTGTCTGTGGATATCCAGGGCTCATGTATGAGATTACTAACAAGCATTACTGAATAATCAGATGAGGGACAGTTTGCTATGTCTACTAGGTGGCTAAAGTCTGATCCTCAGAGCCTATGGTTTGGACGGTCAACAACGCTTGGACCCACAGGGTCTTGACCTCCTGACCGGGTCTGCACGGTCTGCATCAGATTCCCCCTTGTTTATTGTTTGTTTAAGGGACGCTGCCTGTCTTAGGCGGTCAGTGCGAATTCCTCAGTCTTACCCGTCATTGAAACTCATTGCAGCATGGCAATGGCTCTGTCTTAGGTTGCCGAGGTTCCACGTGATCCTTTCCCGTCATTGGCCACACGTCCAGCATAAACAGCCGCCATCCAAGGAAGGCAGGGAGGGAGGTGATCGGCTGGGGACCCCATATGCAAGACGTTGCCAGCCCACCACCTGCTCTAAGGTGACCCAGCAGGATCACTATGCTGAGGTTCAATCAAGTTCTTAGGGGATCTTACTCTCTAGCAGGGGTAGCAAATTAGTAGCCATTCAGTGCTCACTTTGAGAATTACTTATATCAGAAATTTGAGCAGGTACATATATTACTTTTACAAAACTAGATTAAAAAACAACAACAGCTACTTAAAAAAAAAAATACAACTACAAACAAATAGGCCTAGAGATCTGAAGTCAGATGCAAAATCAGAGAATCTACTATGTGAGTACAGAAAAGCCAGAGGGCATTCAAAGTAAAGAAGATCTTATACTCACAAGACAGAAATAATGCACGCTGAGATTGTCTTTCTGAAGAAATTCCCCTAATTTTTCAGGATCCCCAGGTTCTTGAAGGCATAGCCGACAAACTAGAAGAGACCACGTTAAGAATGAAAAGATCTGACTCAAGTTGAATGAAGAGAAGAGTGGGGACACCAACACCTGAGTTTAGGAAGGAATTCAGTACTGGGAAGAGGTTCATTTTGGAAAGGAGTCGAGGTTGGGAAGAAGTGATACTTGGCATGACTTAAATCTTTATATAATTTTGTTCACATTGAAGGAGTTGGCTGTAAAACTCTTTATTTCATATTTTTTGTCTTAAGTATTTTTATTTAAATAGTTCTTGAACTTTGGATATGAAATTTTAAAACAACAAACCCAACTTCTTGAGGATCTTGGAGAATCTAGGAAGAAAGTGAGGTTGGCAGTGAGATAGTTTGCTGCCCCACACAGGTGGCCCTCTTTGCTGAGATCGGGAGGCAATGGCTAAACAGACCCTTCAGCTCCTCTTACCAGGCCCTGAAGATGGCTTCCTCTGGGTTACTCTCCTAGTCTTGGCAGATTTTCTATATAAGAGAAGGGAAAACGTACGAAGTGATCTTTGAAGACTCTTTTAGTACCCTCCCCGGCCCTTGTAACATTTCCCTTAAAATGCCATCCATGGATCTGATGAAGAACTAAAATATCTAAAGGCTATGATAACAGTTTCTTTTCGGTTCACATTTGTGGAAAGCACAAAAATACCCACTAAGTTCTTTGAGGGTTGTGACTAGATCATAATCATCTTTCTGTCCCCAGTTCACTTACGTGCTCAATTCCATTGACTGAATGAATGTAAAAGCAAACCCTTCTTACTGCTGTTTCGGTCCTATACTCTGAATCTTAACCTTAAGGTATACCAATATTACAAAGCATACTAAAATTGACAATAGTTAGCCTTGATGGAATGTCTTAATTGCATTTGACATATTTTACATGTATTTACCCAATGAATCTACAGAACACTCTAAAAAGTGGGTTTGATTCTTTTGCACATTGAGGAAATTGAAGCATAAAGAAATGAAGTAACCTGTCCTAGGTTACATAGTTACCAAGTGCCAGAGCCAAGGATATGAAGCTAGGATCGTGGAGCTAGTACTTTGCTATTAGGGGCAACCCTGAAAGGTAGGTTATTAGGTAGTTTCTAGAGTCACGGCCCAACTCTAGGCCCCAACTCCATGCCAAAGAGGGCATATACTACAGGTCACTGGACAATTTCTCCCAAATTTCTTTACGTCACCCACTCTACCTCAACCTTTGGTGCTCCTTCTTCTTTTCTTTTATAGTCTTCATTCGCTGCTGCCTCTCTTTCCTATCTCGAGTTCTTCTCAATGTTAATACAGTACAGGCTTTTCCAGCTATAAACATAAACAGGGCTTAGTTAGAAATTTAATTCCACATTTGATTATCAGTTTCTATGGGGTCAAAGAAATGGTGCTCTTCACCTTCCATCCCAAGTTATGGAGTAAAAGACCCACGCATTATCAATGATATTAACAGCCAATAAGTATTAAATTATGCCAAAAACTCCTCTAGGTTCTTTACATGTGTTAATTCACAAAAATCCTATGCAGTAGGTATTATTGGTGGTGGTTCTGTGATATGTTGTTAGATCCAAGTCATAGTGACCCTATTATAGGGTTGTTTGAGGTTGTAAATCTTTACATGAGCAGAAAGCCTCATCTTTCTCCTGCGGAGTGGCTGATAAGAGTCAAACTGCTGACCTTACAATTAGCAGCCCAACGCGTAACCCACCACATTACTAGAGCTCCTTAGTTCCATTTTTCAAGATGAGGAAACGAAGATACAGACAAGTTAATTATCTTGTCCAAAGTCACAGGTCTGACCCAACTAGCGTCAGACTGTAAAATCATTTGAACTGCAAGGTCGGTGGTTCAAGTTCACCAGCTGTTCCTTGGAAACCCTATACAGGGTCACTATGGGTTGAAATTGACTGGATGGCACTTAACAACAAAAACAAACCTGGTTCTGTAGCAATCCTGGTGTGGCACTGACCACAAGGATAAGCATCTGATCACAAGGTTGGTGTAAACCATAAGGTTGATGGTTCAAACTCACCAACTGCTCCTTGGAAACCCTACACAGGGCTGCTGTGAGTCAGAATGAACTCAAGGCACCCTCTACTGCACTTAGCAACAACAACAAAGCCTGGCTCGTTACTAGCCTTAATTACCACATTTACAGCTATTACATGGGGTCCTGGTATGCCACTGTAGGATAAGCACTGGACTGCTATTCACAAGGTAGGCAGTTCAAACCCACTAGCTACTTCTCAGAAACCACATACAGGGTAACTGTGAGTCCAAAGAGATTTCCCAGCACTTAACAACACTGCTGCTACACAGCTGTAAGAACTTGGGACCATTGCTTGATGGGGCTAAGTGGTTCTCTATTTGTGCCTACTAAATGCATAAGGAGCTCTGGTAGTGTAGTGGTTACGAATCGGGCTGTGAACCTTAAGGTCAGCAGTTCGAAACTACCAGCGGCTCCAAGTGAGACAGAAGAGGCTTTCTGCTCCGGTAAAGATTTACAGCCTCGGAATCCCTGTACAGGGTCGCTGTGGGTCGGAACCAACTCGGCGGCACTTAACAACAACAAATGCATAAAACAACATTTAGGCGTGCCTTAATCCTATCCAGTAAACGTTAGATAAAGTAGCTCCTCCCTTTGGGATAGCGGCTTTCCCAGGCAACAAATATCCACAAAGCAAGCACGCCCCCCAGTGAGAGACATAGCCCCAAGGAGGAAGGACTGTAGTGCAGCGTTTCACAGGAGTGGAGTGAATCGTATCATTCTAAAGACGTACACTCCAGTGCCCACCTCCTAAGGAGGTCAAGGCTGAGAACATGAATAGCTTTAGGGACTTTTCAATTACTCTGCATGAATTCAACTGCTAAGACAACTAACTAGTCTCTCAGAAAACCATGGCTATGCACGCTTCCTTTCTTTGTGTTTGCTCAATCTCCTCTCCCAGCCCATGAGTTGCAGAAGTAATGAATGATGTTGGCGCGTTTCCCCCAAAAGGATGGAAGAGGAGCGAGGGCATGCTCTAAGTCATTCTAGGAGGGATTCACTCTGGTTGACTACGGAGCAGTTCTGAGTTTTGGGGATACACCTTGATACTTCAGTTCTTTGCATCGCTGGATCAAGACATTCCTTGAGTAGGATTCCGTGCACACTCGTTTCAAGACAATGGAACGATCTTCAAAAGCATTTGCGATGGGACGATGCAAAAGCGGGCTTCCACGAGCTGCTCAGTCCGTGATTTCCTAACCCGGCGGATGCTCCCTTAAAAGTTATCACGTTGTTTCACTGGATAAACGCTGGGTAAATACTTGTTGAGAAAATTAAAAAGAAAAAATAAACGTGTTCGGCCCCGCCGCCGCTAAGAGTAATAAACAGTGATTTCATTGGAAACTACGTTTCGGTGTGGCCACAACGGTCCCCCGGAGGTAACAGCCTGAAAAGGGGCTAAGGAGCATTCCGCGGGTGGCGGACCAGGCTCATGTCGCGCTTGCCGGGCCGCTGGTACGGGGCCGAGCTGGAGGTCGCCTCCGCCGCTCCCTCCTTACGGTAGCGCACGGGCCGCAGCTCCCGGTCCGGGCTACCCTTCCAGATGTAGCTGAGGGCGCCGTTGTCCGGGAGCTTTATTCGTTGTCACAAGTCGTGGTAGCTACCTTACGGGCGGCCGCCCCGCGCGGTGACTGCGCCGGCGAATGGGAGCGGGCGTGCTAACGGGGGCCGGGCCACGTGGACTGTAACCCTCGGGAACTGCAGTGGGGGGGGGACAGCGGGGACGGTGACCGTTGGTAAAAGAAGACCGCTAACGGTCGCGCGCCACCATAGTTCAACCCTTTTTATCGCCCCGCCCCTTCCTCCCGCAGGAGCGCGTGCGTATTCGAGCTCTTACTGGTAACTGTGAGGTCCGGCCGGCGGAAGCTAAACCAAGAGGCGGGGCGTAGGTGGTCGCGCCGTGATGACGTAATACGAAGGCGCGGGATGGTGACGCGCGGGACCCGTTGTCTGTGTGGGGCTGAGGGGCCCCGGGGGCAATAGGGGCTCCCGGCTAGGGCGTCGGTGGGTCGGGAGGGCCTGGACATGGCGCTGAGGGGCCGCCCCGCGGGAAGATGAATAAAGGCTGGCTGGAGCTGGAGAGCGACCCGGGTGAGGAGGGCTCTGGACGTGAGGTGGGCAGGGGAGGCCACGGGTGGGCCCTTGGGCAGGCCACGTCCACGGGACGCCCCTGCCTCATATCCCCTTTTCTTGTCGTCCCACCCAGGCCTCTTCACCCTCCTGGTGGAAGATTTCGGTAAGAGCCGCCCCTAGCAGCCGGATCTGGGCAGTGGGCTCCCACCTTTGCGCCCTCTTCTCTCACCAGGGCCAGAGGCCACCCTGCCCAACCGCTTGCCTTTCTTGTTGGCAGGTGTCAAAGGAGTGCAGGTAGAAGAGATCTATGACCTTCAGAGCAAATGCCAGGGGTGAGTGACTGCACCAGGGCCTCCTTTCACACTCAGAGGCCTGGGGAAGAGTGTGCCCCTCAAGGGAGGCAGTTTTAAGATCTCATTAAGGATGGCTCCCTTGTCTCTGGGTACCCTCTTTCTGATCAAGCTGATATTTCTGTTTTCTCCCACTACTCCCTTAGTGTTTCCCTTTACGTGGTACCCTCATCCAAATCCTACCCGTCCTTTAAGGGTATACAGCTCAGCTGCTTTTCCTGAACTTGCAGTGCAGTTTTTGGACTGTAATTAATTACAGCTTTAGTGTACCATTTGTGGTTGTGGCTTTAATCCCCACATGGGGTTTTGTATTGATTGGTTGGCATGTTCTGTTTGACAAGACTTCTGGGTGGTCTTCCTCGGAGTCTTATCTTGGTGGTCCCACAGTATAGAGGTGTGGGGTGACTGCTAACCATAGACCAAGAAGCCTGCTTTTTGTCTCTTAGGAAAGAAAAGGCTGATGTGTTTATTCATTTGCTTCTCAGGCTGCATTTGCTCAGCCCTTGGGGTCCACAAGTGAGAATTAGTGTTTAAATTCATCAAAGAGTTTTCATTCTCACTTATCTTCTCTTGGGTTCCACCCAGTCTTGTCTTAGGCTGTTGGTTCCAGCTTTTTTTCTGTTACCCAGCAACCATAGGCAGTAAATGTCAGCAACCCAAGTGGACTCCTGGAGCATCACAACCTGATGTTGACCTCTGGATTGGAGTGTTCAGGACCACTTTGGGGGCCTAGTATTGGGAGAGAGCTGGATGGGACCCTGGCAGGAATACCTGATGACAGGATACAAGCGAACAGGGGGAGAAAGAAAGGGATGCTGACTGCCTCGGCCCCTTGGCTGATCTAACTCCGCCCCTTTCTCCCCAGCCCCGTTTATGGTTTCATCTTCCTGTTCAAATGGATCGAAGAGCGCCGATCCCGTCGCAAGGTCTCTACTTTGGTGGATGATACGTCAGTCATTGATGATGAAATTGTGAATAACATGTTCTTTGCCCATCAGGTCTGTTGGTCTCTGCTTTGTCGGGAGGGTGGAATGTTGCCATTTTCTTTGCTTGAGAAGTGAAATTGGGGGAAGGCAGGAACAAAATATGGGTAGATGTCAATGGTGGTGGTTGCAGAAACCTTTCAGCAAAAGGTACTAAGCTCTGATTTACTAGCCTGATAGCATCTCTAGGTAGGTTGATGTCAGAGTCATTCTCTACTCCCTACTTCCCCAGACACCCTGGCTGGCTGGCTGACTGTGCTGTCAAGTCAGTTTCGACTCATAGCGGCCCTGTTTAGGGTTTCCGAGGCTGTAAATCTGTATGGAAGCAGAAAGCTTCATCTTCTCCTGTGAAATGTCTGGTGGATTTGAACTGTTGACCTTGTGGTCAGCAGTCCAGTGTGTAATACCTAGTGGATATTTAATGTGTCTGTTAAATGAGCAAATGTTAGACCAAGATGAAAAGGGTAGGTTGTCCAGATATGACTGCTCTCTCTGAGCCCTCATTCCCAATGAGTGTGGGATTAAGGAAGATTGGGGTGAGGGATGCTACATACAGGTGACTCTTCTTGGTTTCACAGCTGATCCCCAACTCTTGTGCTACTCATGCTCTGCTGAGTGTGCTCCTGAACTGCAGCAATGTGGACCTGGGGCCTACCCTGAGTCGCATGAAGGACTTCACCAAAGGCTTCAGCCCTGAGGTAGGCTGTGGTACCTTAGTCCAGGCTCTCAGCCAGCAGGGCACATTCAATCCCCAGGGCTGCTGGTAATGCTGTTTCCTTTATAAATGATCATTTGCTATACACTTGACCCTTAATTATTGTATAAGGTAATTAATTGGTTTTAAACCAGAGAGGGAGACAGATCCAGAGAGGAAGGGATTTTTTCTGGATGACACTGTGTTTGGGCCTTTTGTGGCAGACTTTTCCTATTAGATTGTGTTCTTAGTGTCCATTGCTTACTGCACAAGTAGAGCCCCTTTTTTGGGGGCTCCAGAGCTCTCTTCTACTTCCCACTAGTCGTTAAGATTCCTGGGATGCCTCCAGGCCAGCTCTCTGGAACTATGGCCCTATTCAGAGTTCCCTCAAGAAGTTATTCTGACATGGTCTTATTTTCTTCCATCTAGAGTAAAGGATATGCAATTGGCAATGCCCCGGAATTGGCCAAGGCACATAATAGCCATGCCAGGTGTGTAGGAGCTGTGGCAACTGATGATGGGGGATGGGGTGGTTGCCTCTTTTTGGGTCCTGACTGTGTCTTTTCCAGGCCTGAGCCACGCCACCTTCCTGAGAAGCAGAATGGGCTTAGTGCGGTGCGGACCATGGAGGCGTTCCACTTTGTCAGCTATGTGCCTATCACAGGCCGACTCTTTGAGCTTGATGGACTGAAGGTCTACCCCATTGACCATGGTAGGCATCCTGGGCTGGAGGTGCACTGGGCTTCCTCTGCTCTCCTCCAAAGAAGCTGGGACTCAGACTTCTCAGGAACTCTGATGGCAGGGGGTAGGTGCTGGCCAGGATAGCAGCTTGCACTGTTTGCTCAGTCCCTGACTACTTGGTTCCACTCCTCTTGTCCATCATCCTTCTCATGTCTGGCCTGCCCAACTCAGTTTGCCACTGCTGACTCCTCTGCTTGCTCTTCCTCAGGGCCCTGGGGGGAGGATGAGGAGTGGACAGACAAGGCCCGGCGAGTCATCATGGAACGGATTGGCCTCGCCACTGCAGGGTAAGGGCCCGGTGCCTGCCCTGCTTTACCCTCGTGAAACGGAGGTGTTCTCCGTTTGAAAGGGACAGAGAAAAGGGAGCCATGGCAGGGAGCGGACAGGTGATTTGTACAGGCTTTATGGTGAATTTGGCAAGATCAGGTTTCAGATTTTGGCTCCCAGCTCCTGGCCCCATTCCCTCCCAGAGCTGTCTATGGCCTATTCCAGGATGGGCAGGGGAAGGGAGCAGGCCTTTTTAGGATCTTTGGGTAGCCCGGGTGTGCTGGCTCACTTCCTCACAGGCCCCTCACACAGTTCACTGGAAGGCACCAGCTCAGGTTGATTGGAGTGGCAGCAGGTCTGACTGCAGGGACCCCTGCCGGGATATCTGCCTCAACCTGATGGTGGGGCCCAGGTTTGGGGTTGCTCTCACAGCTGTGGGTGTGATTGCAGGGAGCCCTACCATGACATCCGCTTCAACCTGATGGCAGTGGTGCCTGACCGCAGGATCAAGTATGAGGCCAGGCTGCACATGCTAAAGGTGAACCGTCAGACAGTGCTGGAGGCTCTGCAGCAGGTGGGTGCTCACCTGACTCGGTCCACTCCCCACCCCCACTGCAGCATATGTTCCTGTTTCTCAAATCTAAATTTCAACAAACTACTCCTTTTCATTGACCCCCTTTTGGGGAAAGGTGGGACTTAGTGGAAAGGTGTGTGTGTGAGAACGGCTTCTAAGAGGAAGTTTGGGTCTGGCTCTTTTTTCTCCCTGTGTATGAGTGAGAGAGTAGAGCCAAAGCCGTTTTACGCCTCTCAAGGACTCAACTGTTGAAGGAAGAAGCCTGGCTCTGCTCTCACTCCTCAACCAGGGATTCTGTTTTCAGCTGATTAGGGTAACACAGCCAGAGCTGATTCAGACCCATAAGTCTCAAGAGTCTCAGCTGCCTGAGGAGTCCAAGCCAGCCAGTGGCAAGTCCCCCTCAGAGGCACACAGGACCCCAGCGGCCTCAGAGGGCACCCACACAGGTACTAAGGGCTTGGGGCCTCTCTCATGGGCTTCAGAGCCACCCCCTTGTAAACTGATCTGTGAGGCCACACAGAGAAAGTCTTTCTGTGGTGCCAAGCGCGTCCTGTGAGAGGCTTGGAAGCCTGGTACCTAGAGCTCTGTACTGGGAACGTGGGGGAGAGCAGCCCTTCCGAAATGACAGTGCCTGTAAAGGGCCGATATCACCACAGGCACGGGCCTCTCCCCAAGGCAACTCCTCTTCATGCTGTCTCAAGAGGCCTTTGTCTGCCTTTTCATTTTTTTTTTTTGGAACCTGTCTTGTCTCCTCCCTTTCTCAGTGTAGCCCATGACTTCAAGCTTGCTAACTTCTAGTCTGACAGCTGGTTCAGCTGCTTGGGAGGGATGGGGAGCAGTGCTGTGGCCTAGGTTTGGGAAGTTGTGGGCTTGGCATATAGTATCCTTGAGAATCCCTCTGAAGGCCTTGCCTATGCTGTCTAGTCCCAGATGGCACAGAAGAGGGGGCTGGTTCCTGCCCACCCGCCCCAACCCATAGCCCTCCCAGCAAACCCAAGCTGGTGGTGAAGACTTCAGGGAGCAGCCTCAACGGGGTTCCCCCCAATCCTGCCCCTATTGTTCAGCGGCTGCCAGCCTTTCTGGACAATCACAACTATGCCAAGTCCCCCATGCAGGTAAGCCGGGAGCAGTCTTGTGGGATTTCCTCCAGGTTTCTCCTGAGACGCTGCAATCAGCAGCTTCCCCAGGTCGTTCCATGGTGTCCACCCTCTGCCTGGGCTTGGGTTGCCAAGCTCCTCTGTCTCAGAGGCCCCCAGAACAGCAGGGTTTTGGGAGGCAGGGAGAGCTCCTCTGACTTTAAAATATGGAGTGTAACATTGAGGATATACTCCTTGTTACAGCTCTATAGATTGGTTCTACTGATACCATGTTTCAGAGACCTCTGTTTGTCTTAGAAGGTGGTGTGGGTGAGAGGCAAGCCTCCCCAGGAGCCCAGGATAGGTCCTGGAATACTTACTTGCAGGTGGTTAGCAGGCAGCCTGGAGAGTTAGTTAACTTTCTCTCAGCGTGAGGGCTGGGTCTGGCCTGATTGGGCCGCTGTTCAGGACTGCCCTGCCCTTGGGTCTCTCTGCCTCAGGAAGAGGAAGATCTGGCAGCAGGCGTGGGCCGCAGCCGAGTTCCAGTCCGCCCACCCCAGCAGTACTCAGATGATGAGGATGATTATGAGGACGATGAGGAGGACGACATGCATAACACCAACTCCGCCATCAGGTCAGCCCCAGCTCTGTAAACCTGGCAGGCTTTGGGTGCCATGGAGCCTGCCCTGAATATTCCAGCTTGTGTCTGAAGTGCCCTTCAGCAGAAAATGCTGAGCACTTGGTGAATGAAGGGCCCTGGGGAGGCTGGCATGACAGGGCTAACGCAGGCCCCCAAGGAATTGTTGGTGGCCTTGGGAGAGGGCCAGGCATGTTAGCACCAGGACTTGTTCTGATGGGCCTTGCAGGATGGGATGAGGCAGAGATGGAGGAGATGTGGGAGGGCAGCTTTGCTGGAAGCCATGCCCTTGGCAAAAGATCTGAAGTGAGGTGAATGGAACAGAGGAGGTGAATGGAACATGGCTGTGGCTATAGAGCTTTGGGTGCCAAGCTGGCCATGGCCATGGCTGGGTCAAGCTGCTTGAACCCAGTGTTAAGAGCTTTTAAGGTCAGTTCCTGGAGACCACGTTGTGTTGAGGCCATCCTGGGCACTGCCAAGAGTGGTCACTTGGCCTAGGCCATCAGCTCACTTCCCCTTGGGCCCCACAGATACAAGCGGAAGGGACCAGGGAAGCCAGGGCCTTTGAGTGGCTCCGCAGATGGGCAGCTGTCTGTGCTGCAGCCCAACACCATCAACGTCCTCGCTGAAAAGCTCAAAGAGTCCCAGAAGGACCTCTCGATTCCTCTGTCCATCAAGACCAGCAGTGGGGCCGGGAGTCCTGCCGTGGCAGTTCCAGCGCACTCGCAGCCCTCGCCCACGCCCAGCAATGAGAGCACGGATACAGCCTCCGAGATCGGCAGCGCTTTCAACTCGCCACTGCGCTCGCCCATCCGCTCAGCCAACCCGACGCGGCCCTCTAGCCCTGTCACCTCCCACATCTCCAAGGTGCTTTTTGGTGAGGATGACAGCCTGCTGCGCGTTGACTGCCTACGCTACAATCGTGCCGTACGTGACCTGGGTCCTGTCATCAGCACAGGCCTGCTACACCTAGCTGAGGACGGTGTGCTGAGTCCCCTGGCACTGACAGGTGGGCCTTGGGCTAGCTCACTGGCCACTTGGTGCACCTAGGAAGGAGAAGGGAGATGGCTAGGTGATCACCAAGTATCCTGTCCTCATGAGTTTTCTCATGACTTCTCTTCCCAGAAGGTGGGAAAGGCTCCTCACCCTCCATCAGACCGAGCCAAAGCAGTCAGGGGTCCAGCAGCCCAGAGGAGAAGGAGGTGGTGGAAGCAGCAGAAAGCCGAGAGAAGACTGGGCTGGTCCGGCCCGGTGAGCCCTTAAGTGGGGAGAAGTACTCACCCAAGGTGAACTTCTATGACATTCTCTTGGAGTTTACAGTCCTGACAGGGAAGGACCTGGGGAACTGCTGCCCAGGTGCTAGGTTCTTGATTGGAATTTGGGGCTGAGAGTTGGCTGGGCTCAGTCACCTGGGGGTGGCAGGGGCCTGATAGACTCTAGTTGCTCATCCTTGCCTCTCAGTAGTGGGCTTTGGCACTGGCCACTCCCCCTCATGAGTGCAATGCTGGGTTTATGCAGGAGCTGCTGGCACTGCTGAAGTGTGTGGAGGCTGAGATTGCAAACTATGAGGCCTGCCTCAAGGAAGAAGTGGAGAAGAGGAAGAAGTTCAAGGTGGGTGATGTGTCTGTTCCAGAGGTTCATATCCCAAGTCCGCTGGCAGCTGCTGTGGGGAGATGGATGGCGGGGCCCTCATTCTCTCCCCTCCTGCAGATTGATGACCAGAGAAGGACCCACAATTACGATGAATTCATCTGCACCTTCATCTCCATGCTGGCTCAGGAAGGTACAGTACCCCTTTCCTTATACATCCCCACGGGGAACAGGAGGGCCCTGAGTTCTAGCTTCTGGCCAATCAGATGGATAGCTGCTGGCCATCCATCCACTTGCTTATAGGTCTCTTGCCTCTCCACAGGCATGCTGGCCAATCTGGTGGAGCAAAACATCTCAGTGCGGCGGCGCCAAGGGGTCAGCATCGGCCGGCTCCACAAGCAGCGTAAGCCTGATCGGCGGAAACGCTCACGCCCCTATAAGGCCAAGCGCCAGTGAGGACCACTGGCCTTGAATCTGCAATCTGCTCTTGCTGCGTGGCTGTCACCAGGGCCCTTCCCTGCCCCACTCCCCCGTCTCCCAGTATTACGACAGTTCCAGCCAGAGAGCCCAGACCCTGGGACTGGGAGCCAGGCCAGGATCCTTTGTGGCATGTTCCAGGGACTGGCAGGGCAGGGCAGCCCCACGGCGCTCAGGAAGCAGCAGCTAGCGCTGGGGCTGCATGGTGCAGCCACTACCTCCACAGCCGGCTGTGGAGTGGCAGGACCTGGCCCTCCTGCCTTGGGCAGCAGAATATATATTTTATCTATCAGAGACGTCTATTTTTCTGGGCTGCAACCCATCTTGCCACTGCTGTGTTGACATAGCCACTTTCCCTCCTAGCAGCTGTCATCCTTGGGGGCCCTGGGCCCTGCCACTCCACCCCCAGTTACCAGCCTGTTCTTTGTCATGAGGACACCAGCCTCTTCATTCTTTCTGGGAGAGCTCTCCACTTGGGACCCCACCTGCTGGATTAGTGGTGGGTGTCCCAGCTAGGGTGGGATGAGCAGCCTTCTTGGGTACCACAGTCTGATCAAAGAGAATTGTTTGAGGCTGTAAATTCCCCACATGACTCTTGCTGGGCTTGTCATGATTGCTGTCTGCAGCGAGGACCTGGCCCCTTTGCCTTCAGTGTTGTGGCCCTGGCTGTGGGCCTGCCTCAGGCTCAGGACTCTGTTCTAGAGCCTGAGGGCCCAGCTCAGTATTACCATGTCTCCCTCCTCTAGGGTTAGGGATTGTAAGACAGGACTGTTTGCAGGGAACTGGCCCTACTCAGCTCTCTCTGTCATGCCAGCTTCCTCAGTTTCTGCAAGGCATTCAAGGTAGGGGACAGCAGGACTGAGATAATCAATTGGAACCCTTGTTCCCAGAGGACCCGAGACCAAGGGGTAATGGGCCCAGCACTGCCTCTGGAGTGCAGGCCCCAAACAGTCCTATGGCCTCTTCCAGATGGCTTTGAAGGTGACCCAAGCAGGCTCCTTATCTGTACATAGTGACTGGGGACAGAGGGGCCTGGCAGGTGTGGCACCTGCCTCGCCCTGGGCTGGGCATGGCCTGACCCCTCCAGCCCCTGTAAATACGAGCTAATGAATGAATAAAACTGAGGAAATGAGCCCTCTTGTGCTTGGTGCCTGAGGTTTGTAGGTTTAGGTTGCTGTGGGAATAAAGGACCTACCGGCCTGAGCCAAAGACCAAGAGCGGTCCTCCCACCCTGAGGCAGTCTCTGGGACAGGTTCTGCAGCCTAGAGAGCTCAGGTCTTGCCTGGCCTACTCTCCGTGGGTGGGCTGCCAGGCCTTGGAGGGCTCATGTCTTTCCTGTATCTGAGAGGCGACAGCATACCACAGCTGCTGCCTCTTGCCACTTTGCCCTCCTGCTAACCACTGTCTCTGCCATTGCCTCCCTAGCCAGGGGACCTATGGAGGAGGCCTGAGTAAGCAGCCAAGATTTAGCTGAACTGCTTTAAAAACAATTTTATTGCCTTTGCCTCCCACCCCCCACCCTTTGTGTCCGAGTCTAGTAGTCCAGCGCACAGATGAGAGCCACACCACGCTTTATCCAGTGTCGCTGGGACAGTTGGGTGGGAATCTCCACAGCAATGACGTAGTTGGTGGAGTGGCCTGTGGTTGATAGTGTTCCTGGAGCAAGTGAGGGAGGAGTGTTAGGCCAGGCTCCACCACCACTACTAGACAAGGAATGGCCTAGGGACAGGGGCAATGGGGCTGACACACTGAACTGGGGCTAGGGAGGGGGCCCTGGGAGGCTGCCTGATGAGGAAGTCTGGACCTCAATTACCCCTCTGAATAACGTTAGGCTGCGGCTCAAAGGTTCCCAGGTTGCACCATGGGTGCTGCTAAAGGAAGTAGGTGGAGAGAGCCCAGTAGCCTTGTCACAGACTCAGTCCAGCCCTTGGGCACTGCCTGCCTACTGCTGGCCTGGCTCTATTCTGGCCCAGATGGCCTCAGCAGTACTGACTGTCCTCTGCACCCCAGCCCGCCAGCCTGGGAAGCCTAACTGGGCCAGTGGTGGGTCTCCTACCAGCACGAGTCAGCGTCTTGTAGATGGGACACAGGTAGAAGGTATGTTTCTGGGCCTTGCGGCTGGGCACTGGCATGAGCCAGATAATGGCCATCTCTGTGTACAGCTCCTTGGGCCGAGACTCAGCCAGCTGGAAGGTCAATGGGTCCCAGCGGGCACCTTCCAGAAACAGTCCATGGATGTAGCACCCCTCTCGAGGCCTTTGGTTGATTGCCGACAGTGACTGGGTCATCACCTGTGGTGGGCACATAGATAACGACCCCATGCACACATCCAGCATCTGGGTCAGGATTTGGGTCGGGGGACATGAACTCCCTGCTGAGAACTGCTAATTGCCTGCCCGCCACTCACTCTCCATACTAGCCAGTGGCCTGCAGTCTGCACCCTGCCCCTGTGACCTCAGGCTCATGGCCTCTTCTGGGCTGGGTCTTCCTGGAACTTGCCTAGTTGCCTAGCTACCCTCCTCCCTTGCTGATGGGTCCCTGGACTTGGCCAGCCGCTTGTAACCTCCGCCCTTCCTGCTTGGGTCTTAACTTTATCTAGCTTCTTGCCTGCCCTAGCCATGGCTGTATCCAGACCTTGAAATCAAAGGAGATGGTGTCAATGGAGATGACGGATTTGCGGGCAAAGTTCTGCAGGGTGCCTGTCAGGAAAGCCTGGGGGAAGAAAAAGCCGCTGATCCAGAAGACAGCTGGGATGCCATCTTGGATCCAGGTCTGCAAGAAGTCCAGGCGTTGCAGCAGGTCCAGGACCCATGATGATAACGGCTTGAGTGATGGATAGGCCTTGGCTATCCAGAGCTCAGGCACAGCGTTGTTGTACAGGCTGGCAGCCATCAGCTCCAACTGTGAGGACATCACCACCAACCCCTTGAGTGCCTTGAGAAGATCCCGCAGTGTCTGTGTAATCACCTGCAGCAGCCGGTTGTACCTAGGGACCAGAGGCCAGAAACAAGCAGTGGGCCAGGGCAGGACTAATGACAAAAAACTGGCAGAACATTGAGGCTGAGTATAGAACAGGACCAGGTGGCCTGTGAGCAAATCCTAGCTCTGGCCCTTAGGAAATGAGGGATCTCAGGCAGATTACTAAGCTTTTGGTGCCACAGTGCAATTGTTTTGTCTGTAAAATGGGGTAAGAATGGATGAGTGAGGAGGCTGTATAGCACCATGCTGCCTGATCCTTGAGAGCTTCTTTGGTCATTACAGCTGTTGCTGTGAACTGCCTGAGCCTTAAGGGCAGCAGACCCAGGTTCATCTGGTAGTGACAGGACTGGGATACAGGGGGGAATTACCTGATGACCTCCTGTACAAGCACTGTGTTCATTGACTCCTCGTACAGCACAGGGTACTTGGCTATCACCCACTGCAAATTCATGGGCTCAGGCACCTTGAGCAGGATATCCTGGGCCACATGCTCCACTATCTGTCAGGGTAGAGAGATGCTGGATGTCAGAACTGGCCCTTTGTAATCCCTTAGGACTCCCCATGCCCAGGGTTCCTTCTTAAAGGAACTCATGAGCTCCTCCTCCTTCCCCTACCTACCTCCTCCCGGCCCTGGCCACCTGCAGAGGATGATTTGGGTTGTAGTTGGATGATGGAGCCCAGTAGGGCAAAAGTCTCATTCTGGGCAAATGTGATGTTGGCATTGTCATGCAGGCCGAAGATCTCAGGCATGTCATTGAGTGGGAGGCTCTTGATGTAGGAGAGATAGCCCTGGGGAGTAGGAGGGCTACAGCTGAGCCCCTGCCTTGCTTTACTCCCAGCCTTTGGAGTGGCCTTCCAACTGAACACGTGTCCCCCACTTGTCACCCCCCCTTATAACACTATGGTATCTCCCTGTTCTTGGGATTCTAGGGTCTTTGAGACTCGGTGTGGTACAGCGCCCCTTCCTTCCCAGTCCCCTTTCACCTCTATTCCACCCACTGCTTCTCCATTTGGCTGCTTAAATCTGGAAGGTCCAACTTGTGCCCCCAATATCTTCCCATACATTTAGTTGAAGTATCATTTTTTCAGGAAGCAGACCAGATTACAGTGTTGGAGGAGCTGCCCCAGCCCTCTTTAAGTAATTACAGCCTAGCAGAGGCTGAGAGATGGGAGTTCGCCTCTTCCCATGGAGCCTGAGCTCCAGCAATCAGGGACTAGAGCTGTCTCGTTCACTATGATTTTCTTGGTGGGATCGATTAGTTAATGAAAAGGAGCTAGAGGAGGGCAAAGGCCACTTCTTTCCCAGGAACCCTGCATGGCAGCACCCCATTCCCACTGTGCAACTCGGGTCCGGCTCACGTTGAGGTCATAGGTGGGTTGGATCTGGTGGTAGACGCCTGAGGCACTGTAGCTGTGCTCAGGGGACAGCACAGTGGGGTTGTAGAAGTCCTCCAGGATGTTCATGATGCAGCGGCGGTCCCAGTCGTCGGTGACTCTGCCCCCGTAGTTGATCTCCCCTGCTGTGTACTTGAGGACCTGCAGGACAGAGTGAGTAAGGGCCCCTGAAGTGCTCCAGCCCCTCACCCACCTCTTGTCCCTGACCCACCTTGTAGGGGATGTCTGAATACTCATCTAGGAACATCTTGAGCTGACTGATGCAGATGCGCAGGTCTCCATCGGTGAACTCATAGGGGATGTTGAAGCCCAGTGGCCCGAATTTACGTCTCTCCAGTGCATTCCCGTGGAATAGGCACAGTGACAGCAGCAGGGATTTGAACTCATTCACCTGTGGGAGGTGAGGAGGCAGGGCTGGTATGCAGGAGGAACTGCCAAGGGCCAGGTGAGGGGGGTACATGTGCCAGGTTCACCTCACCTTCTGACAGGAGTTGAGGAAGTCATCACTGAGGCTGCTGTAGGATTTGAGCAGGTTGGCCTTGACACCTCGTGGTGGCTCAATGGTCATCTTGGAGCCGTTCTGCAGGATGGACACTGGGAACTTGCTGCTGGGCAGGCTGGTGAGCCATAGGCGGAAGTCCCGGTGCACCTGGTAGCCACGGCCCCTCGTAAGCATTAAAACTTATACCTGGTGGCCACCACAATACCACGTTTCCTCCTAACCCAGAGACCCTGGGCCCCCACTTGGCCTGACTCCTGGGCCCCCACCTGGGCCAGGTCAGGCTGCATGGCTGCTGATTTAAGAATACAGGATTTTGGGCAGTCCCAGGACTACAGGTCTGTGTTGAGTGGCCAGGGGCAAGTCACATTATCACTCACAGCTGCAACGCAAAGGCTTCTAAGTGGATTAAATGAATT